ATTTTGCTCGAAATCGAACAACATACATGATAATGTTTATAGCAATCGAATTTGAGTGTGGTAATGAGGTGCCTTATAACTAATTATACTTGATTAATCGTAAGATTAGCATAATTCTCAGTGACGCACCTTGATAAGGACCGAAGACAAGTCCAGTAGGGATGTCCATTTTAGCGAATACGCCCAATCCGGCTTTTGGTATTTTGGATGTTCTGATCTCAAAGAATGCCGGTAACGTTTGTTCAGCTCGTGGCTTATTATCCTCACGAACCTAAATCAAAAACGAATAAAACAATCAAAATATCGCATAATATCTAAACGAACAGCCAATCATGAATACTGTTGTGATATGATCAATGTGATCAAATATCAATGGGTGACATGAATTGTGATGTTCGTTGTAATTGATCTTTGTGTTTGATCGGTATATAAGCAGCGACTGTATATAAGCAGAGCGTTTTGCAGTAGAATTCATTCGGTGTAATTTTTCATTGTATCGTCTACTAGTTGGTTTCAATAAAGTCTAATACAACTGTGGACTCTACAACAAATACTCACCGAAATCAACAAAACAAATGAAAATTTCAATTCACCTCTCGATCACTAACCATATACAACGGATGTACTCGGCACGAACCCTTATAATACTCACCGCATATATCACAATCTAAAAGTCATTCGTCAGCACGAAATTAAAAAAGAACTGCTGACTTATCAACATTTCAAATTATTTAACTATAAACGCAATGAATCAGCTAAATCGGTAAGATTTATGCATTCACAATATCCCCCAGAACACGTGCCTCTGCTTAAAATCAAACGTCTCTCTACTGAAAACTTCAATCCTTCACTACAACCCAATTATTCTCTATATAATTCCGTTGAGGTTGTGCATCAAACCTTACAACAACGATACACAAAAAATAATCTTTTGAATTCGAGTCCGCTTGGAGGATCATGAGAAATAGAAACTTCAATATCCACATTCAAGAGAATACCGGATATACATCAATTGTACAATTGAAAATAAGTCCTCAAAAAAATTATTTAAACTATTACTCACGTATATAATCATCATCTTCCAGTTCCCACTTCGATAACAATACTCCAAACGTACTCAATTGTTTCTCTGAATAATAAAATAAGTTGAAAGTGCACAATATAACTGAATAAGATACAAAGAATGAAAGCAATGTAATTAAATTTTACTCATAACTTCAGTCCAACTTTTGCAAAGCAAACAGCGTGCTGATTCTGAAATCGAAAATGCCGCCGACTCACCATATCATATAATCACTATTAGAAAGACGTTAACCGAAAAGATCAGTGATAATGATATCGAACGATAAACTATGAGTGTATGTAACGACAACTCATTGTTCACTGAATCAACTCAAAATGAACAACTCAATGAATAAACGCATACCTGTTAATTTCTGAAGTAAACAATACTTGGGATTATCATGATCATTATTCACCAATTTAACACAACGTTCAACACAATCCACTACGAGACACATCTGAACAAATCAATGAAACGATTCAAATGAATTAAATAATACTTTCTAATTGGTTTTATCAATGAATCAATATCTAATTACATGTTTGATACAAATTTCATCTTGATATTCCATGCTACAGATACATTCTGACACGATCGCCTGCTCGACATCTTCAACAATACCAATAAAGCACTCGATTTCAAGTGAATTTCTTCTCCCGTTTCCACTTAAGCAGTATTCGAATCCAAAAGATACATCCCATCAGTGACTGGTTTAACGTGAAGTTGGTAACGCCCGCAGTTTGAAATGTGAGAATACATCAAAATCGTCGACTCTACACGTCACACACTGAGATCGGTACCCAAACGAGCACAATCGCTTCATATTTCAAATCATAAACCATCATCAAGTTCCTC